AAATCAGATCCATTATGGGTATCAATAGTCATGAATAGAAAATTGTCTATTATGGACCCTTAATTGTATGCAACTCAAACAGGGGGGGGGGAAACTGGCTAAGATACTAGTAACACGCTTGCCTGTGTTGAAGTGACGTAGCCTTGTCGCCGGTCAGTTCTCAGCTGGGTATATGAGTGCCTTCCTGTGTCCTGTCTGCGGTTGTCCACGGTGCTTAAACTCCAAGCAAACAGCGTGAGCGGTGCAATGAATTCTAGCAGTATTGAAACTCTGTGCGTGATGAGCGTGTGCGTGATGGTTTCCTGCGTGCGTGGCGTGTGCGTGCGTGGGTGCCGTGCGAGTAATGGTTCTTGGGTGCGTGCGTGGCGTGGCGTCGCGTGTGCGTCTGGTAGTTTGTATGGCGGAATTGGATTACGTTGTCGCATATCATGAAACAGTATTGTCGTGCTGGCGTTGGCTGTACGGATCCGACTAGTGTGTGACTGGTGACAGTAAAATATCGTCACGCAGCCCCCACTATGATCAAGGAGCATATCAGTGAACCCTTGAGCCTATAACTAATAAGTGTATAATCTTCTCTAAGGTTGTACGATGCTTGATGTGGATGTAGATGTTTGCGTGTAGTTGCGGACGTAATATAGGCTTCGTGTCGGCAAGAAACACGTGGTTTACTAAATATATAATTGCCAGTATATTTCGACCGCGCGACTCTTACTCGCTGGTGTAGGATATTAGAAGAAAAGGAACAGTAAGTGTTCGGTATTTTAGCTGCGGAAAGTCTACTCCGTGCGGTAACTTGCCTCGGCACACCACAGCATAACTGACCTCTGATCGTGGTTCAGTTTTACCTGATCTGTCTGGCGTTGCTTCTGTAATTCGATACATATTTAAAATATTTATTGCACACTAGGTTTTCAAAATGATTTGATGTCACGTATGTCAACCTCGTAATATCTATATATGATTATATATATATATATATATATATAAATATATGGAATGAAAAGAAATATACATATATCATGTCTTGCGTGCTACTAAAAGCATGATATGTGTGAGTAGTCGTGTGGTGTTTATGAACGGTACAGAAAGGAGTTAAAAGCCGATGCGGCTTCCAAGTTGGCTGTTTTTTTCGTAAGAAAAATCTGATTTGCAAGACCAACTTTAATACGTGATACGAAGTTACCTGACCACGGTCCACAATCTGTTTTTTAGGTACTAAACTACTAGATTGGCTAAGTTCAGATTCGAGTGTAAACCTAGAACTAAGATGGTGGGTCAATGTAGTTGCATGCGGCGCTGTTTCTGCGATGTCGTAAAATGTACAAAGTTTGCAAGTTTTCTCCTTACATTGTATATAACATAAATATCTATATAGCTCGTTTAGATTATTGGAATTGTTCGCGATTTGGACGATTCCCCAGTAATTCTCACACGACCTATACAATGAAACACTGTGGTTTTAGGTATATTGACCCAATTCAGAGTGTATATGCGGTCTCTAATTTGATTCTAAAATCTGCGATGTAATGGCTGTATCATCCCGACAAACACACGTACATTACGTAATGAGTAGATCGAGTTTAAACGCGCTTGGGTTTTTGTTGCTTCTAAATGATGTTAGCGGCTAACTATTTTATGCATCAACTCCCGGTTGAGTGTAGTTGTAGCATCGTGTTAAAGCCGTAGTTTTTACATGGGTGCAATTATATAGTGTGCATTAGTCAGTGAACATGCGCAATGATACAGCGCACGCTACTTCAATGTGCATAATAATCAGTGATGAAAAATTTTGAATATATCAAACGAGTCTAAATTTATCTATGTACTATAATTGTTCAATGTCGTCATTTTATTATTTATTATTATCATTATTATTATTATAGTTTATAGTTATAGCCTATATATGTTTTAGTTGCAAAAGCTATCATGTGCTACGTGTTGGTATGTTGTCTTAAAGTATAATTTATCTCTTTAATTTTCTTGAGTAATAGTATTGCGGTGTTGTTTTGTTTGTTTTGTTATTATTTTAACATTTAGCGGTAATTGTGACGTGCCCATATATAAAATTAAAAGAACAGATACGTGAATCATCTTAAAAATAGATGTTTATATGTGTCAGTGTTGTGATAACAGTCATTTCACAGGTTAGATTTTGATGATGTAAAATGTGCGGCGCAGTTATGTAAATGCAACGTACACATTCACAATTCCATAAGAAATACTTGCCACTGCGATTCAGTTCAGGTCCGCACGTACGCGCGAACGCACGCACGCACGCACGACACACATGCCCAGGCAGCCGCACACTTGAGAGGGAGCGCAGCATGCGCATTGAACGGCCTATGCGCTCTTGTAAACTATAATAAATTCGCTGAAACATTTCAGAAGGTAAAGGAGAACGCGAAATGAAAGCTTTGCGGGTATTACCTTGCCATGGAGGAGAGCGGGCAAAATTTCTGAGAGATAATCTGGAGCGTGTGAATAATGTATTCGGGTGCTGTCTATCTTTGGTTTTAACGGCTTGACGGACGAATCACGCTTGAATTCTTCGACCAAACATGCCTTCTCAACCACGTTTCTGTGTGGGTGGGAGGGTGCGGAAACGGTGCGGCACGCGCCACTTATGTCGCACTACAGGAAAATATAATAGGCTAGCACTGGCTTCCGGTGTCCTAGACACTAAGTTTTACGCCATGTTCTCTCGTCGTACACTGCGATATTACGGTTAAAATTTCAGCGCTCCCAACAAATCCGTGCTACGTTGTTGCGATCTGAGTTCTTAGTATTCGAATCAAGTGCTTGAAATGTGGTATTTTATCACAGCCCGACCAGAGTTTAACTGGCTTGTGTCACGCCTGAATATATGCTAAATTGATGTTTATTTAGATAATACCCAAAAAACAGCACATGACTAACATAACAATCAGGGTGTTCCAGGATTTTTCTGGGTGGGTCGTGATCATAATGTGTTTAGACCTTTTCACAATGCGATAGCCAGCAAGACAAGATGGATGCAATGTCGATACAAACAGGGGCAAGTACAGGATTTTGGTACAGGGGGGGGGTCTAACCGTAACTCAAACTTGGTTAGCACGCGAAGGCGGGATCTGGGGGGCCCTCCCCCAGAAATTTTGGAAATTAGAACTCCTTAGATGCTGTTTCGAGCGCTGAGCAGGGGGGTCCGGAGCCCCCTGACCCCCCTGTACACGCCACCTGACAATTTAATGAACCAAAAAAATTTGTTTCAAAAACCCAGGAATTTATCAGTTGAAAAAAAAAAGTTTCTGATTCAGTTGAAACAGGAGTTTTTAACTCTTTGGCTCTTTATCTGGTCTCTGTCTTTGCTCTTCTGTCAGTTCTTTGTCTCTCTTTTAGAAAACAAAATTTGCTGTAAAAAACAAAGGGCTCAGTTTCAGAATGGCCTGAATGGATAGATTTAACGTCACCGCAATTGGCAATGTCTTTGGACTCATTGCTGGTACTGATCTTATCATTTATGTCATTGTAAAAAAGGCACCTCGAAAAAAGGCTTTGGGAAAAAATGTGGGACCTTTTTAAATTTTGGGGGGGTCGTACGACCCTCACGACGCCCCCCCTGCATCACACCATGCGACAATAAGTACAGAAATAAACAATTGAACTAGATAACACCGCGGATTGAACATGCATAAGTATGCCACACACTTATTTACAGACTTGTGTTTTTGAACCAGATCATATAGCGATAAGTAAAAGTTGATATAGTCAATCCATTGCTATACAATTTCGTCGTCAATTGAACATACAACCTAATTAGAACGGTGGAACATGTATAAATTTGATAACTTGGGTTCAGTTATGCGAAAGCTAATCGCTCTAAACCTGATTAACCTGCGGAAGGTTACTTCCATTAATTCTCACATTATGCACCCGCTGCCCTAGAAAAGCGTCAAGCAGGGAAGTTCCAACCACATAAGCAGTATCTCGAACCTTCTATGGCAGTACTCTGCCAACGCCGGCCACTCACCTTCTAGTCATATGCATTGGAGCACATCATAATTAACTCGATTATATGATCGTATACGAAATTATAATGAATAAAATATCGGAAATAATATTCGTTAACGGATTAATGACAGGATATCGTCATTATCACCCCTAGATAATATCAAGGCTATGATCGAGAGCTGGGCCAGAATGTGTGCGATAATTATTAAATGAGAAGGATTTATGAGAGATGGTGAGTGTGGGGAGCGGGAAAATAGGGCGAATAAGAAGCTGCAGGATTCGATGATAGCAGCTAGGAACGAATAATGACAAAGTTACGCTGAATATAGAAAGGGAGGAGCGCGTGGAGCTGAGGTTATAATATCGGTGTGGTTGTGCTGCGGAAGCATGGTATATACGTAGGTCATTTGGATAGGCAAACTAGGACTGCACTGCCGCTCTCCGTGCATCGCGCTGCACTGGACCGCGTGTGTGACTAGCGAGTCTCTGGGGACCTCTGCGCACGCAAATCTTCTTGTGACACTATGTACCTTCTTAATTATCTACTATGTGATTGCTAGAACCGATTTTTGGTACGTGCATAACTGCCTAAGCCATGGGCAAGCATAAACACGTGTGAACTTCCTCTATCACTGACTTGACACCGAGATTCGTATTGACGTATTATGGGGTGGAGCACGTAGCGAGCTAGAGCGATACTCCCACTGACACTGTCCCAGTACTGAGGTAAGAATGATTTGCGTGGGCCTAGTTTCTGGCAGAGGTAAATTGTAGCATTACGATAAAAGTGCCTAGACTACGGGCATTAGACATAATAGTAATACTAGCAGGAGTTGATAATAGGGATCTCTATTATTATCCACTCCTGATACTAGTAATAGAGACGGATTGAGAGTCATATTGCAATGGCCTAGTTGAGCGCTCATGAGCCTATAGGGTCCATGTCCCCCCAGGGCACAGGCACCTATATCTAAATCCAGCCAATGCGAGCACCGAGGTCTGAGAATGGACGGACACACAATTTCACGAATGCTCCGATATCAATGAAAGTTTATTGTGCTCCACATAAAAGATGCACATCCCCGTATTTCCTGACTTTTTGTACTAACCTCCCCCTGTATATGTTGCCACGTGTCGATGATATTGACAGCGTATAGGGAGAGTAAAATCCGGTCGCCAGTAAAAAATTAACAGTTCCACGACGTACAATGGGGTATGGCGTGGCAAAGTCATGGTGCAATGCCGCCACCTGATAGGACAAAATTCTAAACACAAGTCGGCCGCCATTTTTTTCTAACGAGTGGGAACGTGTTATTTATTCACAAAATATGGAATAGGTGCTATATTTACGCTGAAAAGATGATTGACAGTTCAACAAAGACGCCGGAGCAACAAATACAAACTCAAGAAACGTGTATGACACATGGTATTTTATTGAACATTCAGCATTTTTTATCTAAACAAGGTCCGATTGATAAAGTCGCTGAAATGTGTGTCACTCGTTCTCACACCTTCAGGTCGCTCCGCAGTGGGATTAGATATAGGGCCCTGGTGCCCCAGGGTACTGCGGAACGTACCCTGGGTCGTCGTTGTACCGGAACGTACCTCGGTACTATCTATATAGTGTTACAAGGTGATAGGTTAGGCGTTAGGAGTAGGCGAGGCGACTCCCTAGACTCTTAGTGAGAGTAGGCAGGTGTACCGGTCCGGCACATATAGATACCGTGACCAGCGGTACGTTTCGGTATACCGGACCTAACCCAGGGACGTTCCGCAGTACCCTCTGCGGTCATAGACATACCCTCTCAGCCCTAGTAGCGCTGAAGGGGATACATCAGATTGTCGCTATAATTTAGTACCGAGGGTGCTCGGCGAGATATGCGCTATACGCCTACTCCCTACCCTAACCTAACCTAAACACCCTACCATATCAGATAGGTATAGACTCCTCTCAGCCCTGAGTAGCGCTGAAGGGATCGTTGTCGTATATGTAGTACCCGAGTCGCGGCTTCGGCGAGTATGGCGCCCTATACGCCTACTCCCTAACCCTAACCTAAACCCTAACACCACTAACCATGATCAGATATATAGTTACCCTGCGTGGTACACCATGCATATATACGAAACGACCTTTTGATGCCCTAGTACAGTAGCGTAGGCCACTCGATAATAATATTATCTATTAAGACAGCTAGGTATAGCGTCGGGCCTGTGCGGAACAGAGGTCTGCCAAATATTAATGTTTCTCTACTCTATTTCGCCTATTATTGCATAACTTCCATGTAAATGCCGTTCAAATGCCCTCTGCAACACCTTACGAGCACACCCACGCACCCGCCTGTGCACAAACAACAAGAATCAAGCAGAATCTAGAACATATATATATAAAGATACTCGTTATTCTTTTGCTGCCTGGCTTCAGGAGTAGAGCTACAGCTGACATGACAGGGAGAAGTTTGCGGGAGAGAAAATAGCGAAAAGCTTAAGAAAGTCAGGATGGCCCAGAAGATAAAAGCTAGGAAGAAGACAGGGGATCCGAGAAGGATTATGGCAGATAGGGAAGGAATGAAGAAATTCAAGACGGGGGAAAACGTGGAGAGGAATCGGCGTGAAAGAAGCCGCTCTAGGAAAAAGCGTATAGAATAAGAAAGAAAAGGCGCCATATCATAGGGGCAGATGTCAGAGAAGGAGGAAGGGGAGACGAGCGTATGGAGAAGTAGAAGGAGGAGAGAGTAGAGGTTAGAAAGGTGGCCTTTTATCCCTTCCTCCGTCTTCCGTACTTCGCCCAGCCGTACTCTTACTCCCTTTGCTTTCTCTTCAATTCACCCATCGTCCTATCCCTTTCTCTTCTCCATTCATATCTGCCTTCTCTACATCGGCCCTGAATTTGCTCATCTGGTGATTGTACTGTGCGTACGTGAGTACATACCACAGATCTGTATTGGGTCGATACGTCCATTAGGATTGTCCAACTTTAATAGGTCATACATGGTCATAATAACATATATATATATGGTCACTATAGTAGTTTGTGGTTTAATTTGTCATTTCGGTAGGGTTAGGGTTAGGGTTAGGATTATCAGTCATTAATCATTAATGATATCAAAGTTGGGAACACTCCTAATGGAGCGTTAGCCGTTAATTGTACTTTGACGAGTGTGTTGGCTAAGCATGATTTTCTTTTGATTAGTATTTCAGGTGTTCCCTCACATTCATTTCTGCCAGCTGATAGTAGTAATGGCCAACGAAGACCAGGCTCGACAGGTAAATTAACCTATTATCAGGGACGTGTATTATTATTACAATGTATGTATTACAATGTATGTATAATGTATTATTATTACGTGTATATTAACATGTATAAATTAGAAGGACGTTCCCAGATATTAAAGGTTTCCGAGTACACTAATGTACCCTTGGCCAACCAGTTTACAGTGTCAACAGAGATGTTGTTTAGTAAGTATCAGGGTTTCTATTGAGGGAAAATTAGACAAAGGAGGTAATGGCCAGTTTGGGAAAAAACGCCCATGATGGATTCAAATACAGGATGTACTATTGATATAGATACAGGATATACTTATCAGTAAATACAGGAACATTTTCACAATGGCGATGTTAAATTTGACAACGGCGGTGCGCCACTGTGCCTCTTGCTCTTATGTATAAGAAACCCTTCAGTATATATGTGATGTGTGACCTTTAATCGTCACGTTATTCTTTAGGAAGGAGAATATGATCAGAAGTAGATAATAGGATCTATTCTACCCTATTATCTACTTATGATATGATATAACAAAAACTGCTATCTGCTCTGAAGTAGATTGGAAATATTGTACTAAGTGAAAGCCACTTTGGGCATTTGTAGTCGATTAATATGCAGTATTTTAACAGTTTCATGAAGATGGTTTCTTGGCAATTGAGAACTTCTTATCGGATGACGAGATTAACTCAATGAAGACAGCATCAAAGATGTTGGTGGACGATATGGTTCCGGACGAACATAAGACCATCTTTAAGGCTGGAGATAAGCAAGTAAATTGGTGATAGAGAACAATTTTACTGATGGTGAATGTACTGCAGTACTGACGCTGAGAGGGTCTATGTCCCCCAGGGTACTGCCGGAACGTACCCTGGTACCAGCTAGAGCATATAAATACGTTCCGGCAGTACCCTGGGGGACATATAGACCCTATGAGCAGTACTGACAGATAGTGGCAAATGTCAGTATTCTAATGAAAGTGAAGGTTAAGAAAATGGGTTGAGGTATAGTGATACTGCACTGTCAGTGATACTGTGATCAGTATAGGTGAATACTGATGTGTAGCATAAATGTAATACATAAAACTGATCTCCTGATATGTTGATGGTGATTGTGATTGAATAATTTAACGAAAATTGGGCTGGGTGCTTCTCATAATAATAACAAATAATTGAAACACAACACCTGAGTGAGCTTATATCTAACTGTGTGTGTGCATGCATGCCTGTGTGCATGCGTGTGTACATGCGGACTTGCCTGCATGTGTGTTTGTCTGTGTGTGTGACAAAATTAACCCTTTTACTTATTCAATACAGAAATCCAATGACTATTTCATGAATAGCACAGACAAGATAAGGTTCTTCTTCGAAGATGAAGCAATTGGACCCAATGGTATATATTATGAAATGCAGAATCTGTGTATATTAATCTCAAAAATCATTATAAATGTTCATACATTTACGTATAATATATGTTGTAGTGTATTTTGTCATAAATTAACCTATATTTGTTACTGACTTACTATAGAGTGGATTTCTGTTATCTTGTACAGGAGAACTGCTAGTAGAGAAACATAATGGTTTGAACAAGATTGGGCATGGTACGTATGCAGTTAATCTGACCTTGCACTTTGAGTGAATCAAGTACAAAGCCGAATAGCAAAACTGTCCATGGATGCTGTTCAGCCTAAAAATTACTTCTTTTTTTACGAGAGCTCTTTTTTGATTTTGTATGAAAAAAAGAGCTCTCGTAATTTTTTTTACGGGAGCTATTTTAGGCTTGGCCAGAGCTACTTTTTCATAGCATGATTTTGTTAAAATTTTCATAATTTTGATGCACTGACTCTAATTAATATCATTCATCAGCACTCAGCACCAGTATCAGACTATCAGTGTTAAGAAATCGTCAACAAATTACATTCGATCACATTTTTTTCATCTCATTTCACTCGACTAAGAAACCAATCACATTCTTATTCAATTTCATTCACACAGACAGACATGCACTACACAGTACACATAGTCAGGTAACATGACAAAGACAGGAAATCAAGAATTATAATCATGGTAATGATGGTATGGTTATTTTCAAGTTTCTTTTTTTTACTTTATTTCTTTTCATCTTTCAACTTTATTTTTACATCAACTGAGCAAGTTCAGAACTTCAGAGAGAGTTTTTAGTTACTTTGAGTATGTTAAACAAGTGCCGCATAGCGACAGCGCTCATCTAACGTCTACTGCGGTGACTCTGTGGTGGAGTGGTG